AGGAAGGATGGAGAGAAGGAGGGAGGGGGAGAGGGGAGAGAGGGAGAGGGGAAGGGAAGGGGAGGGAGAGGGGGAAGGGGAGAGACTCCATGGTGCCACCTGGGCCACAGCCCGAGAACCACAGCCGTCACAGGGTCGTCACACACCAGTGGCAGAGACGCACTGAGGCAGCTCAGAAGTCTCCTGGAGGGTCGAAGCCCCCCACGGTGGCCAAGACCTGACAGCAGCAGGGCAGGGGAGAATGACGCCCGCCAGCCTGCATCTGAGGACAGAACAACCCCTCCCTACTGACCTCACTGCCCACAGGCTGGTTCTGATCCAGAACATCCCCCGAAGGCCTCTGTGCTCTCAAGGGGGGCTCCTGGAAGGTGCCGGTGGCCCGGTCAGGGCGCTCATGCATCCACGGGTGACTTCGCTGCTGGCCCTGGCCTAACCCTGACCTGCTGCTGGGGGCGGGGCCTGGCTGGGGGCGGTCCCTGAGGCTGACCCGGCAGGGCGCATTGCCCCAGCTCCTCCTCCATCCGAACACCGCGTGTCTGCCTGGCTCTCTCCTGCTCCACTGTCATGGACTGGGCCACCTTCCTCCACCATGCCCCCCATGCCATTTCTGCCTTGGGGCCAGCCAACCATGGACTGAGCCCTCTGAAACATGAGCCAAAGTAAACCTCTCCTCCTTTAAGTTGCTGGCATATTTTGTCTCAATGAGGGAGGTGACTAATAAAGTATGCATCAGAGTAGTTTTAAAGACCGTGAGCAGTCTTTATCATGTGCAGAACTGCCCACTGACAGCTAGATACTGATGGAGAAATCAGTGTGGGCATGCAGTATGATGGTGGTGCAAGCCTAAAATCACAGCACTCAGGAGGCTGAGGCAGGAGGATTGCCACAAGCTCAAGGCCAGCCTGAGCTACATATTGAGAAAGAACCAAACAAAAAGAAATCAATCAATCAATCACAGTGGGGAACATGCAGCCCAGGGACAAAGGAGAAGGGAAAGAAAGCACTTGGGAGATCAGCTCTGCTTCCTGGAAGAAACCCTGTGAGGACCCAGACCTGATGGCCACGGGGATCCACCAGCCCTGCTGCTGCCCAGGTGAACCCAGGAAGCAGCCCAGGAAAAACAACTCAGAAACACTGACTCTGAAATTATCTGCACTTTAAACAATAGAAGTTTTTTAGGAGCACAGACTTGTTTAAACTCTTGATGCAGTTATTTTGGTGCAGTGAAATGAACATAAATTAGCAAAATATTCACCTCCACAATTAAGGGAAGAAGACTACAGAAAGCTCCTTTGGCAGCGACACTCAGGACTTCGTGAGAACGACGGATGTGGTGGAGCCAGTGCCTTTTGTGCTAGGAGACAAATCACGACTCTGGAAATTGCGTTCTGCTACTTCTGGGGAAACAACAGTGAACAGCGCCTTGGTTGGGAGGGGTGAAACTGGCACGAAGCCACCGGGGAGGCCAGCGAGGAGTGGGGAGGGGGCTTCACTGTGGCACAGCCGCCGCCTTGCTCCGCTCTTCCTGCAGTGGCCTGAGCGGCCTCTCCCCGACACAGGCCCAACGGGGTCACCACAGGCCTCACGCAGAGGCGCACGGCCATCCTGAGCAGCGTGTCCTGCAAGGGACAGTGCCCTCCATCAGCACTGTGCCACCCCTCGACTGCTGCTGCCATTTCACTGCTGGGCAAAGAACACAATTCCAACTGTGAAAACAGAAGGCTGGGGGGGGGGCCTGGCAGACAAAGCCTGTCTTTAGAAGTCACACGTGACCATATGAAGAATGCTTCCAGGCCTCAGGACTGCTGGCACCCCTGAGTCTAGAATCAGAAAAAATTCGGGATAGCATCTTTGGAATGAGCCAGTGAGGTATTTGCTCAACACTGATAACAGTCTTTTGTTTGTCATAATGGGGCTTTCTTTAAAAGCAAAGACACCCACTGGGTGGTTTGTAGCCTCACAAGCACAACTCAACACTTCCAGAAGCAATGCCACTCTTCTCCAATAACAAAGCTACAGGCAAATGCTTAGGGTCATGGGCTTCCCCCTCCCTTCTCGGTGCTGTGGCCCGGGAAGCGTCAGGTGGCAGGGGTGCAGTGGTGTGGGTGCTGCCAGAGACAGACAGGGAGCCCTGCCGCCACACTTCTAGACCACCTCGCCCTTCACGGAAGATGGCCCGTCTTAAGAGGCAAGAGGGAAGAAAAGCAAGAAAGGACACCAAACACCATCTGTCCAAAACAACGATGACTCCCAAAGGCCACAATCACTTTCCATCTCACGGATGCCGACAGCGGCCTGGCTTAGGCAGCTGCACAGGAGCGAGGCACGGCACTGCAGCAGGGCACCAGGCTGTGCAAAAATCCGTCTCAAGTCGCTCACCCCAACCGTGGCCAAACCTTGAAGAGGGCATGCCTGGCAGGAACTGGCAGTCCCTGTCCACCCGGGGCCCCAGCCGCTCACCCTGCCCTCTCCAGAGCACCAGGCAGGCTCGCCTGCCTCGCAGCACCACTGGAGGGGGCAAAGGGCAGTGGGAGCCCCGCAGCTCCCACCAGGTGCATCTGACCCCAGGCAGCCAGGCGCTGTCCTCTGTAAGAAGCACGGCACAGCGAGGGATGGATGTCTGACAAGCGCTAACAGTGGAGACAGGCGATGCACTAGCTGGTGCTCAGAACCTGAACTGCATCCTGAAGGACACCTGTGCCTGGCAGAGCCCTGCGAGGGGCACAGAACTAGGCAGCTGCCTCCACACCACACAGCCTGCAGGACCAACTGACCGCCTGCAGCCTCTGCCAGCTCACAGCAAAGGCCCACGACGCCGGGAGCCGGGCAGCGGCCTTCAGCAGACACTGGCAGGGACACCCTGACCGGGAAAGGCCCGCCCACACTGCAGCTGGGGCAGCACTCAGGCGGTGGGTGCCCTGTGTGGGGACAGGAGGCAGCCTTCGCCTTCACTCCGGGGCACAGCGGTGGTGAGCACAAGCTCCATCCCATCATCACCGCATCATTAAATCTGCCAAGAGGGGTCACAGCCACGGCCCAGCTTTTTTGCACTGTATTCCTGAAAAACTTTCACATATATTTGCACTGTACTTAGCTATATTGAAAGCACACTGAGCAAGTCCATCAGTTACAAGAACTTTCGGTGAATTCCACTTTTCTAACACACACTTTGACCTTTTAACTACCAGAAAGGACATTTGTTGGGAAAGTGCATAAAATAAAGAGCAGCCAGGGGTGGTGGTGCACACCTGTGATCCCAGCACTCGGGAGGCTGAGGCAGGAGGGTGGGCATGAGTCCAAGGCCAGCCTGGGCCACACAGTGAGACTCTGCATCAAACCACCAAAAACGAAGAACAACACCTCTCTGGCCCACCCCACCTGCACCGCCTCCCGCAGGGTCCCTCCAGGCTCTCTGTCATGTGTGTGCACAAACCCACTCACCTTCACTGACAAAGCTGTGTGTCTTAAAGTTACATCATGGTAAGCCAGGCATGGCACTGCACAACTGTAATCCCAGCACTTGGGAGGCTGAGGCAGGAGGACTGATTGCCAGGAGTTTGAGGTCAGCCTGGGCTACCTAGCGAGTTCAAGGCGAGCCTGAACTACAGAGCTAGATCCTATCTCAAAAAATAAATAAAGTTGGGCTGGGGATTTAGTTCAGTGGTTCCACCACCTGCCTCGCAAGTGCAAGGTCCGGAATTCAATCCCTGGTACCAAAAAAATAAATAAATATATAAAAAAATAAAGGTCCGCCATAGTATTGCTGAAATTTGAAAACACCTAAATAAACGGGAAGACTATGCTCATGAATAGGTGCACTCTGTGTTGGGGCGGCAGTGTTCCCTCAGACTGACCTGAAGAGCAGACCAAACCTCTCACTGAGATACCATCCTAGGCTGTACCCAGAAATGCACAGCATCAGAGCAGCCTCAACAATCTAGAACAAGAACAGAGGTGGAAGACTGGACGTTTCCCCAAACCTCCTCCATGGCTACGTAATCAGAGCAGTGTGGGACGAGCACCGGGTGGCACAGGCCAACAGCACAGAATGCAGTTCAAAAAGAGCCCCGGATTCACGGCCTTCATTTCTGCCGGAGGCGCCTGGTACTCACCGCAGAAGGGCTGTCTTCAGCAAAGGATGCAGACCGCGGCTGCTCACATGGAAAGGGTGAAGGGAGACTCCTGCCTAGTCCACATACAAACTAACTCGGTCGGGCCGAAGACCTCACGGGAAGACATGCAAACCACCACGCTTGCGGAAGAGCAAGAACGCCTCTGGGACTTTGGATTACACACAATGCCAAAAGCACGGTCCACTTCAAAACAAAACTGCTACATCGCACATCATCAAAATTAGCTATGTTTTAGTTTCAAAAGACCCCATAAAAAAAATGAAAAGGAAAGCTGCAAACTGGAAAATATTTTAAGATCATGTATCTAATAAAGGACTTGCATTCAAAAATATATATATATATATCAGCGAAACCACTGAGCTACATCACCGGCCCTGGAATATATTTTTAAAATTATTATAACTTAATAATAAGAAAACGTTCTGAAGTCCACCAAGGAAGACATACGAATGGCTGGTAAGTCCATGAGAAGATGACCAAGCGCAGTCACTAGGGAGGTGACAGCACTTTGTCCACTAGGACAGCTCTGCTGTGACAACAGACCACAGCGAATACTGGGGCTAGCAGGTAAAACGAGACCCGCGTCCTCTGCCGGTGGGAGTGAACCATGGTGAATGGCTTTGGAAAAGTTTGGTAGCTTCTTAGCAAATTAAACATAATTTATTCCACACCCCAGCAATTCCACACCTATGCATCTAACAAAAAGAAATGGAAATGCAGTGTTCACAGCAGCATTACTCACAATAGCCAGAGTGGCTCCAACCCAAACAGCCGTCGCCCGGAGAGTGAGAAGGCAGCAAGGGGAGGGAGGACACGCCGGCACACACCGAAGCGCGGAGGGCGGCAAACTCCCAGGACCCCACTTACAGGAAACGCTCGGGAAGACAGGCAAAGCCAGAAAGCTGACCTGTGGCTGTCTGTGGCTGACGGTGGGAACGAACAGGTGCTGGCTTCCAACAGGCGTGGGGATCTTTCTGGAAATGCTCGAAGACTGGATCACAGTGAGGACACAAAACCCTAATAAAACTACTGGCTTGTACACGCAACGCAGGCCAAACACAATAGCATATTACATGTCTTAATAACCCTGTTGTAAATCACACAGGGAAAACATACCATGCCCTAACCAGGGCTTCTCAACCTGGCACTCCCAACCCTTAGGGCAGGTCACTCCCTACTTGTGAGGGCTGCCCACGCCTGTGGCATGATTACTAAGTGCCAGTAGCAGAGGTCCCCTCACCTCAGTGATGACAGCCAAAAGGGCTCATCCATTGCCAAATACCTGTGGGGAACACGACAGCTGAAACCCCATCCTAGGCCTGCTCCTCCAGTCTGCCTCTGTCACCCATACCTTGTCACGCTGCTCCCTGGGACTCCACAGCAAGGCGGTCCTGATTACTGGAACAATGATACTTCCATTTCACTACTACAAGGAAGGCTGCAATAAACCATCTCACAGAGCAATCTTTTGAATACTGAGGTGAGATGCTCTACGACAGTTTTCAGTAAAAAGGAAACGTTGGTGTAAGGATGGTCCCTGTGATCACAGGAGCAGACACAGGCTGCAAGAACCTTGGGAAAGGCACTTTCCAGGGGCCCAGACGCTCTGGCAGGAATGCAGGATGGAGTCAACCAAGGGGCGGCAGCCTTTCCGGAAGGGGACTGTCCTCCTTGGGAAATCACCACAGCCTCCAGAGCCAGCTGGTCTGGACAGGTGACAGCAGTGAGGCCACAGACAGACAGGGTGGTGAACAGTGCCAGCTGCTTCTGGAGCGCTGGGGCTGGACAGAAGAGGACGGAGGGTTCCACCGGACTTCCACCCTGCTGGCCACCGATGACGGCAGCCGCCCTGCCCCACAAGCTCCTTCCATGCCACAACACTCAACTGCACTCAACACGATGACTTAGACCACAGGTCTCAAAGGCCATGGACGCTGGGACTGGAAGAGACCTTAAGCCATGGGTCCAAGGAAAGTTGGACCATTTCTTTTAGTTTTTGAGGCAGAGTCTCACTGTGTAGCCCAGGCTGGCCTCAAACTCATGGCGATCTTCCTGCCTCGGCCTCCCAGGTGCTGAGATTACAGGCATGCGCCACCACGCCTGGCAGTTGGATCACTCTGGATCCAAATAAGTGAAGGTCAGAGCGGCCAAGCAATGGGGACAATGCACAGCTCTGGTGGCCCATCCCTTCCTGTGAGCTGCAGTCCCAGCCACACTCCACCAGCTCAGCATAGTCATCCAAGGCAGCTCCCACTTCTAATCAGACACTGTCAGGCGACTTTGTGCACAGCCCTGGCCTCGTTCATTGCTGTGCCACCCCCCCCAGCCTGCTCCCTCAGCCCTGTCCTCTGTGAGTAGAGATCTGGGTTCACCCTGGCCAGATGCCTCTGCACGGGCCCTGCCATAAGAAGCCTCTGTCCTCTGCCTGAGCACAGGAAAAGGCAGGGTTTCCATGGCACTGCCCAGAAGAGCGAGAGGCCCAGCAGGCAGGCACGATGGCAAAGGCCAGCAGCAGCGGGCTCCACGAGAAGAGCTCGGTGTCCAGAGACATGAGGCCCAGGGTAGCGAGAAAGAGAACCTCTCGGTGAGGAGCGGAAGCCCAGCCAGCTGTCTGCCAAAGCAGAAGGGTGAGTGGACCGCCGAGGACAGTTAATTCCCTCCTGGATGTTTAAGCACATCTGCAAATGGCCTCTCATTTGTGAAGGGTCTGGAGCAGAACCAAAACCAACAAACACCAATGCTGAAGCAGGGGAATTCCACAGGAATGCAAAGCCTTATGCAAACACAGAAGTGCTCTCCCCAAAATCAGTTCTAACTGCTTTCTTAAGATGGGTTTTCAAAATATTGGTTTAATTTTATACTGTTTATCTAAAATTTGTAATAGATACTGTAACAAATTTTTAACAATGAACACTTTTAAAAAAGCATACTGGAGGGCTCAACTGTGCCTTCAACGCACTTCTAAATCCGTCTGTGTGGGTGCACAAAGCGCTGACACCTCCCAAACCCTGCAGAACCCACAGTGCCAGCCCAGCCTTGCCAGGGCTCCCTGCACGTGTGTGCCCTGCAGCAGGCGTGCAGTGCAGCTGGTGTGTCCCTGTTGACACGAGACACAGGAACAAGACAGGTCACACCTCAGCTCACATGCACAATCTCTGCTACACCTGCTTTGCACTCCGGGACATGGCCGGGGGTGCTCGTCAGCCCACACCTGCCTGGCATGAAAGGCTCGGAACTGCAGTCCCCTCATGTACACTCCGGTTATCGAGTCTGAAAACAGTCAACAGAAAATTCCAGAAATAATTCAAGTTCTAAATAACTTTTGCTCAAACTGCTGTCCTATCTGTTCTGTGTCACTAGTTATTGTTAATCTCCTGCTTTGTCTACCTTAGCACTTACTCTTCACCGCAGACATGTGTGCCTGGGAAGACAGCACTTAGCATGGAGTTCAGCGCTATCCACAGTTTCAGGAACCCACCGGCCGTCAGCTTAGAACACATCCTTCAGGGATAAGGGCCAACAGTACCATATGAGACACAAACACAGGAAACACAAGTGTTCAGACAGAAAAAGCAGGTGTCAGAGCCCCAGTAATGAGTCTTGCAAATTATCAGGAAATGTCAGGCCCGCTGTTCTTTGCCTGCACAGTGTCTGCTGATCATTTGTGAAACGGTTTATCAAAAGCTCTCGTGCATGATCTAACCTTCACAGACGACACCCAGCATCAATGTGCTTCTTAGCCTGACTTGTGGGTCATGAAGAATGACTGTGACACAAGCAACAGGCAGCACGTCCTGTCCTTGCCCGGAGCTCATCGCTGGCCCAGGTGCCAGGGCGCTTCTGGTGTCCCCGCCCACCACAGCCTCTCTATCCAATAAAATGCAACCAGAAACCTTCTGAGTGATGGTGGCAGCTCACTTCACAACAACAAAAGCAAGAGGCTGGGGACAAATTTCAACTTCCTGAATTTTACCTACCTCGTTTTGTTGCACATCTGCAGGAGAAAGAAGAAAAGTGCAGGGCTGGACTGGGGCTGCAGAACACTCTGGAATCCAGCCTACCTGTTTTTCCTTCCAGGCAATATGGCTTCAGATTCAATATCCTGGACCCTAGTGAGGGTCGGGCACCACCTGCTCCCTCAGAACAAGCCGAGTCTCAGGACCAGAAACCAGAGGGCCCACAGCCCCAGGACAGCACACAGGAATGAGAAGCAGAGGTGAAGTGGAGGAAGGACAGGAGGAGGGGCAGCGCCCACCCAAGGGCAGGCAGGCCCACATGTCCCCATGGCTTCAAGGACCCTTTTCTTACTGCCAAAACCTTGGGTTTTTAGGGACTTCTGGAAGTCAAAGCCACCTGTACAATTTGGGGCTAACCCACAGTGACCACTAAGATATGGGTTTTGACCATGATTCCTGGCTTCTTAGCCCCTCCCCAAGGCAGGGCTTACAACCCGGACCGGCTCTTCCTCTGCCTGGTGACAAAACTCCAGCCTTCCCTTCCTTTGTGTTTTGGTGTGGACCATAACTAAAGTCTCTGACTTTCCCTTGGCTGATGGTAGGTCCTAAGACCTTCCCCATGCCTCATGAGCAAGCATGCCCGCACAGTGAAATCTCCCTGCAGCCCTCAGGACAGGCTGGGGACACTGGATGGTGGGGCGCAGGCTGGTTCGTGGGGAGCTGAGGCTCCTCCACCCCGCACTTGTGTGTCCTTCACTGGGCTGCTTATTCCCATGCTTTAAGTATCCTCTGCTGTAAACTAGCAAACACAGAAGTGTTCCTCTGTGTTCTGGGAGCCTGGGCAGGGGTGCCAGGAACCTTAGTCTGCAGCTGGCTGGTCAGAAGTTCTACAGATCAGACTTGGGAGGGGGACTGAAGTGGGGGCCATCTTGGAGATGGAGGTTCTGGCTGTAGGACCGGAAGGTTCTCAGGGAGACAGTGGTGAGCCTCCTGGCATTAGGGGTATCTGGCTGGGGCCCACTGCAGAAGTGAAGCTTGCCTGCCGGTGGGAAGAAACCCCCACACCTTCTGGAGAAACAGAAGTTTCCTGTGGTATGAGAGCAGAGGGAACAGGCGTTTTGTTTCCCCTAATAGAACACACCATTATCTGGAAGCTACAAACATGATTGAAAACTAAATCTTTTACTGCTTCTAAGGCGACACCATCACTGCTTTGGGACGAATGCCCAGCTGTCCTCTCCACGCAGATGAGCCGGGGACGAGCGGAGTCACAAGATCCACTTGCCCTGTCCCCCGTCAGCCTCCGAGCACAGCCACCCCGCTAAGTGTGATTCTCAGGTAACCCTAAAAACTAGTAACACGTGAGTAACTTACATGATCAATGCCTCCCATTCAAAAAAGTTCTCTTCATTCATGGGGCCTGCAGAGAAAGAAAAAAAATCCCACAACATTTTAACTCCAAAGGCAACTTTATGCTTAGAAAAACTTATAAAGGAGTTACTTGAGTCCCTTACCTGCCACAATTCCTTCTGGAGGGTTCAGTGTTAATTCTACAAAAGCAAAAAGTCAAACATTATCCAACAGAATGAATATTACATTCCCATTCCAACAAAACTTTTTACAAAGCATGTAACACTAGAGTTCACATCTCAAAAACAGACAATTCTATTTCCCCAAAGTAAATGCCTGGTCCAGTTACAATATTGACAAAAATACGTGAGCAGTTATTTGTACCAACAAAACAAAATTCTCTTTTCACGAATGAAAACAAAAGCCAGAAGAAAAACAAGGGGTAAGCTGTCTTCCAAACTCCCGCTGGGTACCTTGACTAGAGCTCACCGGTCTAACACAGTGTTTGTTACTTTCCAGCTGAAGGGTCCTTCCTGTCACTTCCAGGAGCATGTGGCTATGACAAGGAGAGAGATGAGCCAGGGCTGGGGCGGCAGAAGCTCGGCACCTTCACATACACTGAACACTGGCTTTCGCACACTCTGAAAAGGCAGTGAGCCCAGACTGACATGGCCAGCACAGCACGAATCGGCACTGGGCAGCTGTAAGGCCCACTTCCCATCAGGCGCTGCGAGGCCCTCTCTGCCCCTGTGGAGGCTCTGCAAGGTGTCACTTCAAATCCGGGCTTCATTTCCAGTCTGGCTGTGTGTGCATGTGGCAAGTGTCCTCAAGGGTGGAGTGTGGGAAGCCTGGTCCCCCGGAGGTGTCACCCGGAGATCTCAGGCCACTGCAGGTAGAGGGAGCTGGTGTGCGACCAACCCCTTGACAGTTTTCACAAGAGCTGTTGCCTAAGGCACAAGCCCACCTGCCCTTCTGGTGCTGCTGGAGGTGTGACCTCGTCCCTGGGCAGGCACTCCTCCCACTGCCATCAGCCCCAACACTGGCTAAATAAACGCCATCTCTTTACAAAGCAGTCCATTTCAAGCATTTTGTTATGGTAATGAAAAGCAGACTAGCGCCATCTATTGGTACAGAAGACGCCAAAATGAAGCCAAAGCTAAGAGAAGCAAAGAAGGGAAGGAAAAGGCAAAAGTCACAGCAGAAGGGCTGCAGCATGGGGAGGAAACCAGGCCACAGAACACACTCCCTGCCAATAAAACAGCAAAGACCCCGAGACCCACAAAACCAGAAGGTGGTCTTGGGAAAAACAGAAAAGTACTAAGTCCCTGCCGAACAAGTACTGTACAAGGCACACAGGCTGGGAAAGAAAAAAGCAAACTCACACTCACAAACACTAACCCTAGCCCATAAGTTGGAAAAATAAAATGTTTCCCATCTCACATGACGTACAAAAATCCAATTACAATCTTGCATCATTTAACGAAAGGGACACACTCGGAGAAACGTGTGGTGGTGCGGGCCTCACAGCCACTCACAGAAACCCGGCCCTGCAGGACAACCACTCCGCGTGGCCCACTATGCAGTCAAGAAACACGGCAGGCAGGGTGTGAGACAGCCTCGGGGTAATGGCACTGTGAGAACACAGTGTGCTGGGTAAATAACGTAAGGGGCAGCATGGAAAACAGTGCAAGATGTAAGAAACACATGCACAGCAGCACAGCTGTGGACCGCTGTGGACCACGCACTGTGCGTAACTGTACACTTGCTATGACAAATGTGAGAGTTGCTGCTGCAGGGCAAGGTCACATGGCTATGCCTTCACCAGGCCACAGAAATTTTTCAACTCCATTACTCTTTTATGGAACTACTTTCGCATACATGGTCTGTCATTGACCAGGATGTCATTACATGACACATAACTGAATATCAAAAGAAGGAGAGTCCACAGACATGGACAGACTTATGGTCTGAATGTCTGTCTCCCCCAAAATGCATGCAGAAATCTGAGCCCGGGGCTGAGATGGCCCGGCCTGGTGACAGTGCCTTTATGGGGAGGAGCACGGGGGCTGGGGCACAGCTTAGTGGCACATCACTGGCCTCGCACTGGCGAGCCTGAGTCTGAGCCCCAGTGCTGCAAGAAGGGATGGGGAGGAAAGGGCACGAGAGAGATTTCTCTCAGGCCACTGAAGACACGAAAACATGGTCACGTGCACACCAGAGAGAGGCCCTCACGGGCACCAGACCCGCCGCAGCCTGAACTTCACCACCGCTCCCTCTAGAACCATGAATGACAACTGCTTCTTGCTCAAGCTTCCAGTCTATGGTACTTTTGTTACAGCAGCCAAGACAGACAGACAGCAAATAAGCAAATAAAATTATACTCAACCAGGCCGGGGATTTAGCTCAGTGGCTCCGCTGCCTGCCTCGCAAGCACTAGGTCCTGAGTTCGATCCGCGGTACCAAAAAAAAAAAAAATACACACTCAACCTTGCCAGTCAAGAGAAATGCACATTAAAGCCACAATAACATGGGGTTAAATATCCTTAACATTATAAATGTCTTTATTTAGTCATGACAGAATGGCTAAAATTAAAAAGACTGACAACCCCAAGTGCTACTGAGTGTAGCGCCTGGCTCTTCCTGCGTCACTCATGCGAATGCACAGTTGGGTCATACCGGGGATCACACAGCGGCTACAGGACCGTGTGTCCCCACAGACTCAGAGCTCAGTGTCCACGGCCACTTCCCGAGAACAGCCTCTAACTGGAAGTGACCCGATGCCCAGCAAGAGAACCGTGCACTAGAGGATGGAACAGTGCTCGGCTCAAGATGAACAAACTACGGTGCACGCAACGGCATGACTCCACAGTGTCACGCCAAGCAAAGCAACTCTGAGCTAGGAAGACTCCGCAAGTCCCTCTCTGAATTCCAGGAAAGCAAACCCGCTGTACAGGCAGAGTAACGCTTGGGACCAGCCCACAGCACACAATAGGGTAGATCCTAGGCCTTCCTGAACTTTGGGTTTCAAAGTCAGGAGTCTCAGCCTGTAGTAAAAAGCGAACCAAATGCCATCAGGGAGCAGGAGCAGGGAGGGCCAAGGGCACAGGGAGCTCAGGGAGCGAGCCACGGGAGCGTCCCACAGCGTGACTTCAACAGCAGCTGCACAGAGACTGCTATCTGAGATGGTTGCGTCACATGCAAATTTTAAGTTGGTTTCCCCAAATTAATTTCAATTGCTTTATGAACTATAAAACAAATCTCTTAGAGGATAACATAAAATATCTTCATGCAATCTGTATAAAGACTTCTTGAATAGGAACAACAATAAAATTAATAACCATAAACATTGACCACAAAGCATAGATACAATGAAGAATAACAAAATTTAAAACTTTTGGGCCAAGGATTTAGCTCAGCAGTTCTGCCGCCTGCCACGCAAGCGCAAGGTCCTCAGTTCAATCCCCGGTACCGAAAAGAAAGAAAGAAATTTAAAACTGACATCAAAAGACACTTTAAGAAAATCAAAAGGTAAGGCCCAGAGAGGAAGAAATTTGCAACAGAGATGACCAACAAAGGGCTCGTATGCAGAACTTGTGAAGAATGCCTTTAACAGGAGGCCAGGTGAGGGGACCACAAGTCCAAACCTGACCTGGGCAACTCGGCGAGACACACACACACACACACACACACACACACACAGAGGGCGAGCTAGAGACTGCCAACAAATGTATACATCAGGAAAAGAAAACCTTGTCTAAACATTTTAATACTAAATTTATTGAGACATGGGATTAATATGTTACCTTTGGCCTCTACAAGTATGAGGTGCTCAAAGTGGGGGCTGTGAGCTTCCAGACCTTAGTGTGCTGAACTGCTGAGGTGTGTATATGTTTTTTGATGGCCTCTCTCCCTCTCCATATATATATGATATACATGTATATATAAAATACATATGTGAATATGTACATATGTACTGTACATTTTATATATATATAAATATATATATATATATATACATGTGGAATGTAGCTCCGTACAAAGGCCCTGGATTCAATATCCAGTTAAAAATATGAACACAGGGCCGGGGATTTAGCTCAGTGGTTCCAGCACCTACCTCGCAAGCTCAAGGTCCCGAGTTCGATCCCCGGTACCCCCCCCCCAAAAAAATTTGAACACAAAGGAAAAACCAGCAAGAGACCTGCACAGGCGCTTCACACAAGAAAGAGATCAAAGCAGCCGACACCACCCAGCAAGGCGCTCCACACCTACTGGGGGGAAACACTCAGCCCAGCAGAGCCACCTGCCAGCCCAGGTTGAGGAGACCCACACCAAGAGGCGCGCAGGGGCCAGGAAGTGAGAGAACCACACTGCTGCTGGGAGAAGACACCCGACCACTTCCTGGAAGGCCGTGTGGATGGCAGTGTGGAGGGGAGCTGTCTCCCGCAGGAATGTGTGCATGCGTGGTTGCTGAGGACAGTCTACAGGCTCCAGCACACTGTCCTAGGGCTAGAAAACGGACACCGCCCAAGTATCTGCCAAAAGAGGCCAAGACATCGTGGGGTTTGTACAATGGAACAAAGACAAAAATAAATGACACAACTACACAAAATACAATGCTGTGCAAGGCCCTGTGAGCCTCGTACACATACAATTAGAGATATCCCCATGAAACAACGCAGGGCAGCAACGACACCTGTAATCACAGCACTTGGGAGGGGAGGCAGGCTGTTGGGAGTTCGAGGCCAGCTGGGTTACAGTGATTTCAAGGGCAGCCTGAACTACACAGTGAGTCTCAAGAAAATCAAATTAAGGGCCAGACATGAGGATGAGGATCGCCGAGAGGTCAAGGTCAGGCTGGGCCACACAGTGAGTTTGAGGCCAGCCTGAACTACATAGCGAGACCCTGTCTCAAAAAAACCAAAAAAATACTAATTTAATTGAATTTAACTTAAAGACCAGGGCCAGGGATGTAGCTCAGTGGCACCACGCCTGCCTCGCGAGCACAAGTTCGATCCCGGGTACCGAAAAAAACCCACACTGTTCCAGAACGCACGCTTTGGTGGAAAGACCCAGAGAAGCAAGAAGGGAACGCTCCTGTAGAAGAGGGTCGCGGAGGCTGTCTCTGCAGCAGGCCACAGGCGGGTGCTCCTGGGTGGCTGGTGGCGCAGTCTCATTCCCTGCACTTTCCTCTAGGGCAGTT